ACCAGCTAACCCTCAGTGCATGTTGAAGGCAACTCCGTTGTGCGCGGTTCAGTCATCATTCTTAGTCCCTAACAGAAGCAGCTAAGTAAATATCAAGTATTCGTAAATCGAAGTAAGACTGAGTGGTATTAAGAAGTAATGCGCGGGTTATCAATCCAATATATTAAGAATTAATTATAAAAGTTTACAAAATATTTTTTTTCGTGGCTAACAGTGAAAATGCTTCTGCTTCTAGAAACGTAATCAGTGAGTAATGTGATCCGATCATCGGCAACACTAGTCAGTAGCCCTTACCAGCTCTCTGCCATCGCGTTTATGTTTTCTTCACATCCTGCCATGTCATATCACCCTATTTGAGCATCAGTGTAATAATGATATGGGCAACAAACTAAGAGAATGTTAAATCTTTATTCAGCTAGATCCAAGAAAGTGTTCCCTCCTCCATAAAGTCTTCTTGAGGTCTGGGAAACACCAGCGCAGCTAATGTAATCTTCAGATAGTCACTGCGATACCACGTGAAGGTAATTACGATAAACAGGCCAGCCTTTAGGATAGAACGCAGTAGCCAGCGGTAGAAGTACCTAGATAAATCTTAGCAACGTCCAAAACATCAAGAAAGTCTAAGTCAAAATTTCATCGCCCTTGACGTGTTCTTGATGTCCGGCGAACATCGAACAAATATTCTGTCCTTTGCGGTTTCGCCCTTTGTATATATACAGCGTGCTACTCGCGTATCTTACCACGATTTGTCAACCAGATGTTATGTTGAGAAACTAAACCATACTGTAGCATGGCTAGCAGTAAGTTCGCTTTAGTGTTTGACTACTTTCGTTTGAATTTTTAAAATATACCTTAATGCCATAAGTTCAAAGAAAAAACAAACAGCTTGACGAGAACCTTAATTAATTACTGTATCAGCACCTGTTCTATTTTAGGTTATTTGCTTGTTATTATCTAGTATAATAGTGAACTCACTTGCTATTTACAGCCATTGACATCCTCGCAGACATTCTGCTAAACAGCAAGTATGGTGAAGCGGAAATCGAAAGGGAACGTAGCGTGATTCTTCGCGAGATGCAGGTGAGTGTTTGTACATGGTCATAGTACTTATGATCACCACTTTTTAACATTTTCTACTGTAGGAGGTAGAACAGAACATGCAAGAGGTTGTTTTCGATTATTTGCATGCTAATGCCTTTCAAGGCACTCCTTTGGCTCGAACTATTTTGGGCCCCACCGAAAATATTAAGTATTTTCTGCAAGTATTATCTCAGTGAATCATTCACTCGTGGCCTCGTATTTAGGTCCATTAATCGTCAAGACCTGATCGACTACGTAAAACAACATTATAAGGGAAGTCGTATGGTTCTAGCCGCCGCTGGAGGTCAGTAAAAGGAGAGCGCTATTTCACTGCATCCAGCCCACTTTCTTGTGTTTAGGGGTCGATCACGACCAACTTCATCGATTATCCGAAAAGTATTTCAGCAAGCTCGACAGTCTGTACGATGGCCCCGTAGTTCAAGGTCCTTGCCGTTTCACCGGATGTGACGTAAGTGTGACCTTGTTCTTTACCTGGCTGTTTGTTTTCAATTCTACATGTAGATGCATTTCCGAGATGATGCCATGCCTTTTACTTACGTTGCAATGGCTGTAGAAGGTGTTGGATGGGAACATCCGGATAATATCCCGCTTATGATAGCCAACACGGTTTGCGGAACATGTTGCGTGTTTGTGTTATACTTTTGTTTTATAGTTAATTGGCCAGTGGGACCGGACACATGGAGCCGGCGTCAATGTTCCAAGTCGATT